CGTCTGAATCGGCTTCGTAAAAAGGTTGATCTTCTTCAGCCATGTTGAAAAAAACGTGTGAACGGCAAAATCAAACGTGAAAAGCAGGTGAATGGAATCAATAGAAAGACGTGGATAACAATCACGTCGGGGTCACCAAATTTGTAGTGGAAAAGTCTCTAAAATATATAAAACGTCTTAGTAAAAATTACAATGGAAAAGTTTCTAGTGTAGAGCTAACTGGTAGTGACTTATCTACCAGATTACACTAATGGAAAAAGGGGGTAAAAACTGTATATGAGAATGGCAACGAAAATTGAGAATGATACGACTCACTTAGATCCTCCACGATCCTTGTCAGCAGTAGCCAAGAGATTGACTTGCCAAAGGAGGGGTCCGTGAAGGCCTGGGTCGCAGTTTAAGTTGCACTCGGGAGAGTTGAGAGGAATTTCGTTCGTAAGTGACCGTTAGTTGCTCCTGAGCCCGGGAATGATCACCAGAGAATGGTGTCGTTGAAGGGCGAAGAAAACAGCGGCCGATGAGGTGGAAATATCTTGAGAAGTTCGGTGGTGTAAGCAAAGTGTGCGAGAAGTCAGCACGCCGTCTGAAACGAAACTGTATTTTTGCGCAGCTTACGTTAAAACAAAAATTAATAATTTTGGTAAATCTAAACAACGTATAGGTTAGGCTAAAAGCCTACAATTGTCATTGCCAAATTTTAAAAAAATCTCCAAATTGGAATTCTTATCATTATATTCGCGGTTTCTGGTGCTATTTTGATTTGACCAGCATGTCCATGGACTTTGCCGTCCGCAAATTTGCACCTTCCGCATCTCGGTGATGATGTCATGAACTTTACTGTCCTTTTTCTTTTCCACCCTTTTATCAGCAATTAGCTTCTTAAGTTTCGTCCACCTCATGGTCGATCTTTTTTGCTTGTAGGACGATGTTACGATGGTGCACAGTAGCTCTTGCTGCAATGTGATTTCTCCCACGACAAGGAGTGTTTCGAACCTTCATACATTCTTATCAACAACAACGGTCCAAAATCACCATATCGTAGAAGTGCCAGAAATTCAGTTTATTTCATTAATACATAAGGGAGACATGCAGAGCCTTTGAAAACCCTATTGACGGATAGATTCTGTCAACTCATGCATATGATTCAGAGCCATCTATGTATCTTATATAAATCGGTGATGTCCCCAAATGTATGACCGTCAAGTAAAGTTTTATAAGATCTTTTTAATGCGTCAACGATTTCAGCAAGAACAACTGAAGAAGGAAGTTTGTTTCAGACTCGGTTACAGAAGAATTTGGCCCACGATTCGCGTTTACAATGCTGTCTCTTCAGTTTGTAAGGCTAACCTCGGTAATGTGTTGTTTCTGTCAATTAAAGGAAGATCAGCCATCGGAAGAGTACAATCTACTCCCTTGGCGAGTTTGATGACCATGATCGTATCTCCTCTCTTTTGCTTTCATGATAGAGGAAAATGTTTGGGCCTATCTACTCGACCCTTGTGTGGTAGGCCCACAAGGCCACTAAGTAATTTGGTCGCCCTTCGTTGAACTTTGGCCAATGCCGCGTAATCTTGCTTCGTTCAGTGGCACCACATCTGGACGAAATATTTTATCGTCGGCCAAACAAATGTTCCAAACACGCACAA